GTCTCTGCCTCCTGAGTGCTGGGATTAAAGGCGTGCACCACATGGGCCCAGCAACTAAAACTTTTTAAAAAAGAAATGTGAGTTCGGATGTAATTTAACAAGAGGACGTACTTGTGCTGGGGACTGTGTCAAGCACTTTGCATGCTTGATCTCATTTAACTACCCTTTAAAGAGTTAACAGTTATCCATACCAGGAAGTAAAGAAATAGAGATGTAGAGAGGTTAAGGAGCTTGTCTAGCCAGTAATGGGGGGTGAGACATTCAAAACCAAAGTGTGTAGTTTCTAAAACACACCCTCTTAGCCACTCCCACACACTATGCCTTTTGGAAGCCAGGGGATTGGAAAAGATCTAATTTTTCTTGTCTGGTCCTTCCCAAAGCCCCGGACAGATCACTGAGAAAGCATTTGATGCCCTTTGCATTTAGTGAGCCCCTTTAACCATTGGAGTGTTTTGCATTTTGTAGACAAGTTCATTATAATCTTCCCTACCCAAAGGGTGGGGCCTTGGGAGCTGAGCCAGAGACGCTTGTCTTTCCCCACATCCTGGAGCCTGTATCGTTAATAAACATGCCTTTCCCATGTGTGCCCAGTGCACCTAGTTGTTGGGGTATCAACAAGCAGCCCAAATCCCAGAGGATTTTTAAAATGATGCAGTGCCAGACTAGGGGTGGGTAATAACACAGGAAGAAGAGACAAGCCTGTAGTTGGCCATCATGGGAGATTCAACTAAGGGGCCTGAGATGGACCAGAAATAATCCTCCCTCTCCAGGAAAAGCAACAGAGAAGAGACTCACAGCACAAGTGTGGTCAGGGGGCAGTAACAGGGACACTAATGTGGTGAGTCTCAGAAGCTGATGTCAGTCAGAAAGTCCTGGCTTATTTTCCCCATGTCACTGGCTGGCTCTGTGAACTGGACTTTAGTCATTTCATCTTTCTTGTCTTCTACTGGGAGAATTTCTATTGGGAAGAGGATGTCCATTTTAATTTCTGCATTACACAATTTGAACTTGTGTGTATGTGTATGTGTATCCAAGCATATGTATTCACATGTGTGTGCACATGCATGTAGAGGTCAGAGGTCAATGTTGGGTGTCATTCCTCAGAATCCAATCATCTTATGCTTTGAGACCCAATCTCTCAGTGAGACCTGGGGCTTTCCATTTTTAGGCTAGACTAGCTGACCAGTGAGACCTAAGGGATCCTCCTGTCTCTGCCTCCCCATTTATGGGATTACAAGCACGTACCACCATGCTCTGCTTTTTATGTGGCTCCTGTAGATGGAACAGACTCAGGTCCTCACACTTGTACAGCAAGCACTTTACCAACTGAGTTATCTCCCCAACTCCAACATCCCCTTCATTTTAGATGTTGACGGAGTTTATTAAACAGAACATGTTGTTTAACTTGAGTCCATTTTGCTGCCAGTTATTTCCACTGTTAATTGTTCTTTTTCTTTTTAGAGACAGGGTCTTACTATATAGCCCTGGCTGGCCTAAAACTTGCTACATAGACCAGGCTGGCCTCAAACTCACAGAGATTCACCTATCTCTGCCTCCTGAGTGCTGGGATTAAAGACCATGCCTGGCCACTTCTATTGTTTTTGAAGACACATGGGTATAACCAGAAAATGATGAAGCTTCTAGGCTAAGGCAGTTTAGAAGTCCTAACCACTAAAAAGATTATAGCTGTCCTCATAAGGTACATAAAAAAATGTACTAAAGTGGGCTGGAGAGATGGTTCAATGGTTAAGAGCACTGGCTGCTCTTGAAGAGGACCCAGGTTTGATTCCCAGCAGCCACATGGCAGCTGAAAACCATCTAAACTCCAGTTTCAGGGGATCTGAAGCCCTCTTCTAACCTCCTTGGGTATTGCACAACACAGGTGCACTTACATACATGCAGGCAATACACGGATACACATAAAATAAAAATAACAAAAAGTATATACCAAAGTAATCTGTATAGCACTTATACAAATACAAAGGTTAAAATAGCTTCTTCATGAATTTTTTGGCCTCTAAAATCCAGGATCTCTTTTTCTCAAAAGATATAAGGTTTCTAAGAGTTTTGGTGCCCTTATTTACTAGTATCTGTCCTGCTAGAAGCAAGTTCCTAGTTCCTGCTCTACCTATTGAGTTGTCCAGTGTGAATGTGGGGAAAATAACAAGTTGCTTCAGGGGACACACCTCTTAGCTCTGGTCTCTGTCCTTTAGTCCAGCACCAGGACCAGGTCAAGCCATGTTCCCTCCTTTCATAGGCTCTGCGGGCTCTAGTGAGACCTTACCGTTGGTCCCCATCCAGAGTCTTTTCTCACAGCTGCTGGTTGGGAAACAAGCAATATAGACTTTCCTGTCACTCGGCACCATTGCCAGGGACCGGAAGTAATGTCTTTTACCTGATCGGCAATTTGACATGGCTGCTTAACAACCCGATTAATCAAACCTAGCTCATCCTGTTAGAATTAATGAGCGTAGGAAATGCCATGAATAATGAGGACTTCTGCCCCTCCCCCAGCACCTCTCTCCACTCACCCCCTCCCATTTTCTTCTCAGAGTCACAGCACAGCAGACAGTACTGTGCATCCTTCAACTTTGCTGGGTGTGGGGAGTGGCTAGCTAGCAATGTGTGCATCTCTTGCCTCCTCGCCTCTGCCAGGCATCACAGATGCTTTTCAGGAGTCTAAGACTGGCCATGTCCTAGAGAGCTAAACCTCTTGTTCATCAAATATGCCTATGCTCAGATGCCAAAATTAGATTGATTGTCTAACTGTACTAGGCACTGCACTAGGCACTAGGGGTGCAACGATGTTTAAAATACTGCCCTCTGAGTGTGTCACACTGCAGTGACCTGGACACAAATGGGGGGGGGGTGGCATGACAGGAGGTTGGGAAAGGCTGCAACCAGGAGGAGCTGTCAGTACTAGAGGAGCAGAGTGGGGAACTAGGTGAGGTTTTTATGGGGATGAATATCTGGGTATCTCTGCTACCCAGCCAATTCATGGTACAAATATACATGGAGCTCCAGGTACTGCAAAAGGTACTACATTAACCAAATGAGCATGGTTTCTATTCTCACAGAATGGGCATTGCAGGAACCTAAGAAGGTATTTGTTTTATATTTCCATTTATTCATTCAAAGCACAAAAGGTTGCTGAGTGCCTTCTGCTATAAAGCTTGGCACCAGAGTCAAGAGGTACAAAGATATAAACCTCACCTTTGCCTCCCAGAGCCCTTCAGAGGGCAGATAGGTATATGAATAGATCTTTGTGTTCATGTGCTAAGTTCTCTCAGAGGGATATGCTGAAGTCACTCAGCACAGATCAAAGCACTGAGTTCAACTTAGAGAAGAGATGACTCCTTGTAGGAGGTGGCATTAGAACATTTGGAAGACAGATTAGCAGTTTGAGAAGTAAGCCAGGTATGAAGGCACATTCTAGACTTCATAAAAGCCAAGGTTAAGGGTTTTGGTATAGGAGTTGGAATCTGTAGTCAACAGTAAAGACTAAATAATATACAAGATGGATATGTGAAATTTAGAGGCCAGAAGATCCTGACTTTGCTTATTTGGGGTTGAGAACAAGACATGGTTTTGTGAAATATTTAAATAAGAGGGGTGGGCTCAAGTGGCCTTATCCCAAGAGATGTTCTCATCACAGGATTTAGGAATTGGGTGGTGCATGGGTCCTTTGATAGGAGTGATACAGAAGAGCTGAATCCAAAATAAGGAACGTGGGATGGAGAGTAACAAAGGAAGAAGCCATGAGCAAGGCCAGAGGGAATGCAGGGCACAGCTGCTAAAGTCTCTGGGAAGATAAATGAAGGAGCAGAGTGGGTGCAGATTTAATGAGCAAAAAGTGTGGACCATGAGTTAGGAAGGAGATGAGAGAGTCAAGAAAGGGTGAGGGAGAGAAGAGTACTGGATGAGACTCATGGAGGCATTTGGGGGCCATCCTATCAGGTAAAACAGAGACAGATTTCAGTTGTGACTGTCTGACATGTCACAGGGAGCTCTGGAGAATGAGCCCCACTCTGCAATCCACTCACAAGAAGTTTACAAGAAGTTTCAAATCCTAACACCTTTCAGCTTGGTCATGGCATTTGCCTCCTAGCTCCCAAAGCTCCTGGGCTAGTGTTTTGTCTCAGAGCTGGCTAGAAAAACCAAGGTCTTCATCAAAGGCTTCAGTCCAATCTCCAGGATCCCCAGGATTCAGGTCTGCCATACATTTTTTTTTTTCCATCAAGGATTCATCATGGAAGGCTTCACTAAGAGAACTTAGGTTTCTATTTGTTGGTGTGCAAGAGAATGCAAAGGCTCGAGATCAGAGTTCTGCAACCTATAAGAATCTCTCTACATTCGAGCAAAGTGACTCTCAAGACATAGTTTAAGACTGTTCAAATCAGGCTACTGAGAGATTTCCATAAAATTCCCTCTGGTACTGGGGATATTGCCTAGCATGTATGAGGCCCTGGGTTCAATCATTGGCACTACGAAATAAACCTACCAGAATCCCTCATCTTTGGCTGTCTGGAAATGATGTGGCTGCCCTCTTTTTGATCTGAGTTCTCCAAATCACTCCAGTCTCCACAAGCTGATGTCCTTCACCTGCACTGCCTCTCCAGCCCTGTGGGTATTTAAGGTTGACTGAGTTTCTAAAGAGAAACTGATGGAGCCTAACTCATCGTTGGACTGCAAAAGGTTTCCATGGAAGTCCTAGGTCCTGGCCAGTTTATGAAGTATTATCTTGTGTCTCACCAGGTAGAAGGAAGGTCTCAGAACTGGGAGTTGAGCCTACTGAAGCTGCTTGGCTTCCATGGTAGGAATGCTGGATGCCAGGCCTCCTCGGTAGATTCTGGTACCTCCAGACAAACCCCGAGGTACCATGGAATGGCCTTGTCTGGCCGATGGGGCGGCTCAGACCAGGGTTTCTGTATCCATCCACCTACCTACTGCCTTGCTGGATTCAGGCTCCAGGCTTACCATCTCCTTCTCTTTCCCTGCAGGGAGAGTTGCTGAGTCCATGCCGCTGTGATGGCTCCGTTAAGTGCACACACCAGCCATGTCTCATCAAGTGGATCAGTGAAAGGGGCTGCTGGAGCTGTGAGCTGTGCTACTACAAATATCACGTTATCGCCATAAGCACAAAGAATCCTCTGCAGGTAAAGCCAGGGCTGCCCAGTAGAGGCTCTAGAGTTTGAAGCTCCCATAGCCCCTGCTTTGTAGTGGGGGAATTACTGTACCTCAGATTCAGGGCGGCTTGGAGCTCAGGAGAGGCCCAGGCAGGAGGGTATGAGAGATCATGTTTTCTCTTAAGTCTAAACAATAAGAGGAAAGGATAGTCAAAGAGAAAAATAAATACACAAGGAGAAGTGTCAGAGGAATCAGATGGAAGAGAGGGACTAAAAGAAAATGGGTAGGTTAATAAGAAGAGGAAAGGAAGAGGAGGAAAGAAGGGATAGGAGAAAGGAAGCAAAAGGAAGGGAGAGAAAGACAGGAAGGGAGGGAGAGAGGGAAGGGAGAGAGAGAGGAGGAGCAAGGAGGGCACAAAAGCAAGGGAGGGAAAGAAATGAGAAGAAAAACCAAAGCCTTGGGAAAAGACAAAGTGAGAAAGATGAATGGAAGTCAAGGGCTGGGACCTACTTTGGCTTCTGTTGCTGAGATCAAATACTGACCAAAGCCAACCTGGGGAGGAAAGGGTTTGTTTCCTCTTACAACTCCCAGGTCACACTTCATCCCTGAGGGAAGCCAGGGTAGGAACTCGAGGCAGGAACCTGGAGGCAGGAGCTGAAGCGGAAACCACAGAGGAACCCTGCTTACTGGCTTGCTTCCCCTGGCTGGCCCAGCTACTTTTCTTTATATAGTCCAGGCCCGCCTGCCCAGGAGTAGCACTCCCCACAGTGGGCTGGGCCCTCCTACATCAACCAGAAATCAAGAAAATGCCCCACAGATATGCCCATAGGCCACTCTGATGGAGGAAATTCCTCAATTGAGGTTGTCTCTTCCCAAGTGACTTTAGTTTGTGTCAAATTGACAAAAACTAACCAGCTCAGGCTGGAAAGGAAGAAATGAAGGCAAGAAGAATCGGTGGCATTTTTCAGGCTTTAATGTGCATTTCATTCTCCTGGGGTCTCGTCAACATGTGGATTTCAGTTCTGAGCAGGGTCTGAGCCCTGTATTTCTAACAAGCTATAGGGGATGCTTCTGCTGGCCCACAGACCACACTTCCTGTGAAAAGGGACAGAGGGAGAAAAATGGAGAAGAAACAGGAAAGAAGGGAAAAGAAAATGCAAGGAGATGTGCAGTCAGGGAGGAGGAGAAGGGACAGAACACGAAAAGACTACTGTGAAGGGCAAGAGCAGCCAGGGCCCGGGCTACAGTGGAGACCTGCCGGACAGATTCGGACAGAACTCAGAGCTCATTGACCCACACTTTCCCCTCCTACTCTCCTGACATATCCATCTTGCTCCTAATTTTCTGGCAGGCCCAGTGCCAAATCAAGCAGTTTGCTTGTGGAGTGTGTGGACACACACACACACACAAAATAGACAGACAGACACACAGAGTATTCTGCTTCTGAAAATACCTCCACATACACATGATTAACCAATTAAGCTGCCATGCAATCACTTAGCCCGTAAGATGAGGGTGGAGAACCCAGATGCTTGACAGTTCCCCCTCCTCTGTGAGTGGGGCAGAGAGTCACCCCTGCAAGCCCTGGCAGGGTATAGTGATTATCCTGGGGTCTTTGCATGGGAGGCAGATAGAAACACCTGGTAGAGGTCTCCATAGGGCACGCTCAGAAATGAGGGGGGGCACCAAGGTGAGTGGGCATTTCTGGCAGGTGGCGTCAAAAGTGCTAGGCATCTCAGCCATCTTGATGGTGAGCCCCTCCCAGTTGCTGGTTCCATTGTCAGTCATTCATTTGAAATCTTGACGTGTCTTAAAACAGCAGTGCCACACAACAGTTGATTCCATGTCCTCTGGGTGCATCAGAGGTCTCTGTGCATTAACACCCTCCTTCCTTTGCAGCTGACTCGAGCCTCAGGAAAGGTCAGATCTCAAATCTATGAACTCACCCCAAGTCGCCCCCATCTTGGTTTTGCCTTTCATTCATATAATGAAAAAAAATCATTCAGGTATAACTTTTTTTTCTGGGGGTGGAAAAGGTTATTCTAATCCTATGTCAGATAAGCAAATGACAGTACTGGCAATATCGGTCTCTTAGTCTCTTTTCAAGTTACTATCCTGACTTCAACTATGAGCTTCTAGACACTGGGCATCCCTCTGCTTCTGTTGGTCCTCGGAATGCAATGGTCTGTGCTCAGTAAATGCCAGTTCACTTTTCCATACAGAAGTAGTTTGACCTAGAAGCATGGTTGTGTATTTGTGGCCTAAATTGTCCCAAGTGTGTGCCCTGAGCTCCTCTGGCCTAGCTACATGTGTGACAACTGTCTGATCAGCTACAGTAGGCACCCTCTGCTCCAATAGCCCAGCTGGACTATTTGCAGTAGAAGTTTGGGTGGCAGGTTTGACTAGAAGCCAGCAGAGTAATGGATGGGGATCTGCTATCAGAGTAGGGAGGTTCCTTCCCAGGTCTCTTGGCCCCCTCACCTTCTGGTTCATGCAGCATGCAAAGTTGTAAGAAATAGCACAACTATTTACTATGGGACATCATATCAGTGACCTTCCAGAAGCAGTGTTTTATCTAGAAAAGCTATTGAAAAAGGAGTCACAGTTTTGTGGGTCTCAAGGCTCCACTGACTGTTTCCTATTCTTTGCTACCTCTAAACAGCAATTTCAGTAGTCCCACCTTCTCCAAAGTTAACCATGACCAACTGCCACCCAAATATATTAAATGGAAAATTTCAGAAATAATTCATGATTTTAAAATACCATGTACTTCTGAGTAGTGTGAGAAAATACCATGTCTTTCTGATCCATTCTACCTAGGATGTGAGTCATCCCTTTGTTTATAGAATCCAAGCTATGTATGCTGTAGTCACTTAGTAGCCATCTTGGCTATCAGAGAAACTGTCATGAAGTTACCACAGCCTTTGGATATAGGGTTTACTGCTATCTGAGGTTTCAGATATTGATTCAGGGCCTTGAAAGGCATCCCCTCAGATGAAGGAGGACTATGGTATTAATGAACATTTAGTTAGTGCTTGTTAAGTGCCAGTTAGTGTTCTATTCACATATATTATCAAATATAACTTGGAAATAACTCAACAAAGTGTGTACTGTTATTATTCCCAATGCACTTGGACAATGGAGGCACAGAGGCATTTGTGAACATAGCTAACAAAGTGGTAGAATTCCTGACTGCAACAGGAACCCTGACTCCTGGGTCTAGGCTCCTAACCTCTACCCAGGCACACTTAGACTAACCATGCCTTGACAAGTTCGTATGTAATTTTGCTGAAACATAGTAAAGAACACCCTTCAAAGTCCTGGTTTGACATTTAACTTTCATGATACTCTATGAAGTAGGAGGGACCAATTACTTCCATCTTTACAGAAGGAAAAATTGACAGTCTTCATGATTTATTGATTTCTTACTCATACTTAGCAAGTTTTAGAACACAGTTCAACTGGAATTGGGTCCTCTGACCCCTTGCTTGGTGCCCCTTCCTAGTTTAAGGAACAAAACATCTTATCTTCGCAGTCTACTCCTTTGTATCTCCACTCACTGATGCTGCAGGACTGGGGTTTACAGGATGGAGAAAAGCTCATGATTTCAGAATAAGAACCTCATTTAGAATGAGATACCAGGGTTCCAGGTGTTTGGTGGCACCAGATACCACTGATGTCCTTTTCCCCTCCCGGCCTTCCTGTGAGATACTAGAACACTCTGATTCTCTGCTCTCTCCTTGAAATATGCCCTCTACGTCCATGGAGGCTCACATGGGACAGGAAGGAGTTCTTGTCCACAGCACCCCATGCTCCTCCTTCTTCATCATGCTTGACTCTGTGGACAGGGGCCCTGTCAGGCTCGTTAGGTGGCTTGGGGCTGGTAGGAACTTTGGGATTCTGGAGGAGCAGAAGATGAGGGTTATTGGTGCCTCAATGATAGAAATGAAATACTCACTTGTAGTGCATGAGTGGGTATGGGGGCTTGTTTCTAGTTTCCCCTCTATACAAAGATCCCAATACAATCACCATAGTGCCCTACCAGCACCACCACACATCATCCCTCCTGGGCTTATAATGTTGATTCTCTGCTTATTCACTGAGGAGGGAGGAAGGAACCTGTCAGGCATCTGATAAAAAAACTCACCTGTGGTATGCATACGTGGGTCTGGGGGCTTATCTCCATGAGAAATGAGAGCAATATACTAAGGAAACAGACCGATCCCTCAGAATCCCTTCCACTGCAAAGCCAAGCGGTTATGTACTGAGTTTGAATTCATAAGAGACCACTGCTTAGACATGAGCAGTAGGTGGGGAGAGGAGGCAGGGCAAAGAAGAAAGATTAAAATCATTCCTTAGCAAACCTATCTTGCCCAGTTGAAGACAAGGATAAGGCTTGCCTCTGAGGTTAGAGAAAGTCAGTTAGAAACCTTTTACCAGGCAGTGGGGCTGGCCCTGGAAAAACGTTTATTGGAGATGAGAGAAATCTGTATGATAAGGCAAATTCCTTTGTTATGTGTAACCCTAGGCTAGGAAAGCACTGGAAAATTTAAAGGCCTAATACCTTTTAATAGGATGAAATCTGTGTAATTAAATGTTAAGGCCCATATCCTACATTTGGACGAGAAGAGCAATGTTTTCGAATGGTTACTATTCCATGGAGGCTACTGATCGGTCTTATCTGGGCCATGGATGGCAAGAGAAGAGAGAGGGTCCCTGTTGGCAGGTGGAAGGCTGCAGTGCTTCCTGGGGGTGTTCCCTACAGCACATTATGCAAATCCATAATGGATTGCATATGTAAATTATTAGGGCTGTGTGTTCCCTAGGCTATGGACATCTAGGGCAAGGGCTTTCTGTGGTTTCGCCCAGTGTTTTATCTCTAGCACCTAGCATAGTGGCCAGGTACTTAGAAAATAGTCAAGAAATATTAGTTGAGTGAAGGCATTCTAAACTAAAATCCAACTCATGGCTCATTTAGGACAGTATTACATAGATAAAGCATAGAATAATAAAATTCCAGAGCTGAAACTTACCCACACTCCAGCCTTCAACCCAATCATCAATGCTGCTCTAAGTACAGTGTTTTGTTTTTTTTATTTTGGAAAGGAAGAAAATCAGTGTTAAAATAGTCAATGTATTATGAACAGTTTCCTTATCTCACTTCCATATCCTGTGTCCTCTCCTTGTCTGTCAAATTGGTAATCTCTAGCATGTGTATTAAATGGTATGCAAAGCAGACAAAAAAAGACATGTGCTGTCTCGGCCCCCATTAGTGAGAAATCAACTGTGTTGTTCTAAAAAGAATATTCTGGGGCCTTGGAATAGTATCCACACAAGCATGTTGTTATCTGCTTCTCCTTTGCATTTCTATATCTATCAAAATCAAGTACAAGGGTCTTCTCCTCATCCATGCCTGCCTGGAGTCCCTCCTTATCATAATGTCTGATCATTTTGTATGACATCAAAAATACAATGTAAAGCTGCAAACTGCCCATTGTTGAGAAGCCCTGATTTAAGTTCTATATCAGAGGTGAACTTCTAGAGCAGAAGAGTGGGGGGAATGAGATGAGGCCACTCAAGCAGCTAATCTACCACTCTCTCTTCAACAGTGGCAGGCCATCTCCCTGACCGTCATCGAGAAGGTTCAGATTGCAGCTGCCATCTTGGGTTCCCTCTTCCTCATTGCCAGTATCTCTTGGCTCATCTGGTCAACCTTCAGTCCCTCAGCAAAATGGCAGCGCCAAGACCTCCTCTTCCAGATCTGCTATGGGATGTATGGCTTCATGGACGTGGTGTGCATAGGTGGGTCTGGGGGCTTGTCTCCATGAGACATGATGAGCTATGTGCTAAGGAAATGGATAGACCTTTCAGGATCCCTGTTACTGGATGGCCAAGGAGAAGTGCACTGGCCTTGAGACCTGTAAGTTTGGGAGAAGCCACAGCTTAGACTTGAGAGGTGGGTGGGGAAGGAAAGGAGATGGGGCAAAGAAGGAAGATTGAAATCTTTCCTAAGCAAAATCTGTCTTTCCCAGTTGAAAACAAGGATAAGGCTTGCCTCTGAGGTTCATCGGCCTCAGGTAGGGTGTGGAAGGCTTCTTCTTAGTCATACGCCCTACAAGGCTGTCTATACATGTCTATAAAGCAAAATACCCAGTAGTAACTATGAGATCTGCTTCTCTCTCTCTCTCTCTCTCTCTCTCTCTCTCTCTCTCTCTCTCTCTCTGTTCATTTGGGTAAGATGTATGTGTGTGTGAGGGTTTGTGTGTGCACAGTACCTGTGTTTGTATGGGTGGCGGTCAGAGGACAATTTCAGGTGTTGTTCATTCCTCAGTTGTCTTCCACCTTTTGTTTGAGACAGGGTCTCTCATTGTCCCAGCACTTCTCCATGTGGGCCAAAATGGCCACAAGCCCCACCTGTCTCTGCCTCTCATCTCAGCACTGCTGGGATTGTAGACATGCCACCACACTTGGGTTTTTACATGCATTCTGGGGATCCTTACACTTGTTAGGCAAGCACTTTTACTGACTAAGCCATATCCAGACCCTGCCTTTTTATTTTTCTATAAGCCTATTCCAGTGTCCTAAATTTCTCGAGTCCAGTGGTTTTCAAACTATATGTAAGGCTGCAGTTCCACACACAGCTCCAGGAGCCATCTTTGGGAGATAGAATTCTGCACAGACAGGCTCTGCCTCACACCTCCTTTACCATAAACTTCTGGACTTTTTACATATTACAAATAAGATTTTGTTCAAAAGGCTTTAGTGTTAGGGCTGGAGAGATGGCTCAGCAGTTAAGAGCACTGACTGCTCTTGCAGAGGACCCAGGTTCAACTCCCAGCACCCAGTTGGCCGCTACAAACCGTCCTTAACTCCAGTTCCAGGGGAATCCGAAGCCCTCTTCTGACCTCCACAGCATTGCATGACACGGGTGCACTCACATACATGCAGGCAATACACTCATACACATAAAATAAAAATAATAAAATATTTTTTTTTAAAAAAGGCTTTAGTGTTTTAGGAAAAAGTGGGGACCTACTACTTTAGTTCCCGCTTTTTGCCTTATCCAATCTTCAAATCAAAGTTACCCCTCTTTTCTACCTTGGTTGGTAGCAGGCTGGGTACGGATTCTTTCAACAGATGGTTGTGGTTGTTTACTACGAAAGCTTGGTCCGTGGGAGTGAGAAGGTGGAAACAGCCCTGGTTACCCTGGTTACTCTAAGTGAAGTGAAGCATGCTTTAGCACTGTCCAAACATCCTCACCTGTAACTCTCATTGAATCCTCAGGTCACAGTCCTTTGAGCATAGAAGGACTATGGTGGTCTTCTCTAGTATGTGTATTACATCACATAGGCTACATTGCTCTGTTTGGCAAGAAAACATTTATTGGCTAGACTTTGGCTGAGATGCTGGTGATGTGAATTTCTCTGAGATCCTTTAGTATTGGGAATCAAAAAGGCCTGGAGACTAGCATGCTGATCACAGCAGCTATGGACCAGTAATGCCAGACCTTGTAAAATTATCTGAGCCAATTTATACTGCCTCTCTAAGCTAACTAATTCAATATATCAACACTGGATTCAAGAGCTTTTAATTATGGTATCTAGACAATGGGAGAAACAGTCCAGGTGTGGAAGACTGTGGAAGAGGACTGTGAATAGGGAGTATTTCTAATCTGCTCGCCCCTCCCAACAAACCCCTTTACTACCCTTACTGAGGTTGTTGATGCCAAAAGCCAGGTGTGTCTCCATATAGAGCATTGCCATGGCTCTGGCATAGAATGGGGAATAGAGGATAGTATCCTTTCTCCAGCTGTCCTTTGTTCTCCTTCAGGCAGGTGTTAGGTTAGTCCTGAGGTGTGCTTCTATGAGCCATTCCTGTCCTGCAGTGTATTAGTTAGCTTTGGCTTCAGTAATAAACAGTTCTACAGAATCATAGTCCTGGGACTAGAGAGATGGTTCATCAGTTAAGACCACTGGCTGTTCTTGCATAGGACCTGGGTTCAATTCCCAGCAGCCACGTGGTGGCTAACAACCATCCATAACTCCAGTTCAAGGGGATGTGAGGCCTCTTCTGGCTTTCTCAGGCTTTGCACAACATGGGTGCACTTACATACATGCAGGCAAAACATTCATACACATAAAATAAAATGAATAATTTTTTTAAAAAAAGAATCACAGTCTCTTACAATAAATATTTATTCCCCTTATGGGCTTGTGAGATGACCAAGGCTTTGCTGGGCTTGGCTGTGTTTAGCCTCAGGCTGAGCATTGGGCCTTTTCCCAGTGTCCCCTCATGTTTGAAGCCAGATTAAATGAGCTGGGGCTACTGGAGAATGCTCTTTTCCTAGCCAAACCAAGTGTGGGAGCACAACAGAGCTGGCTGAAATTTGTAATGCCTCTCAAAGCTTCTGCTCAGACCTAGCACACTGTCCCTTCTGTCCATAGCCCATTAACCAGAGCAAATCACCAACAGGACCAACATCAGTGTGGCTATAGGGCAGGAAGTATACTTCCCTTCTCTGTGGGGAACATCAGCAGGAGAGAGAAGCATAAATACCACCTGGCACTCAGGGTTTCACAGAGTTGAGGACCAAATTGAACAGAGATGAGACCATGCAATCATTCAGGATAACTCCCTTTTTTTCATAGCTAAGAGAATGAGGGCTAAGAAAGGGGAAGGGATCTGCTCAATGTTCTTGGCTAGGATTAGAAGCAAGGTCTCCTGAGTCACAGTTCAGTGCTCTTTCCATTAGTTAATGGACAGAATAACTACAAGTGCCACCTGTGACTTCAGGTGCACCTGAGCCTACTCACAGAGAGCTCGTGTGAACAGCCCAGCTCTTTGAGGCTCTGAGCCCTCCCTATCCTGGTACTCTTGCTTTGGTTTATGTGGAGCTATGATCTCTACTGCTCCAAACATGTCTCTCTGAGGAGAGATATTAAAATCCAGATTATCATTCTCTCTCTCTCTCTCTCTCTCTCTCTCTCTCTCTCTCTCTCTCTCTCTCTTCCTGCTTCATTCTGGGCTCCCCGGTCTCTGCTTATTTCTCCTGGCCCTCTTCTATGTCTCTAATACACATGTGTCATTCAGATCTCCAGTTTCTGGGAAAAGCCAAGTATAGTGAATATTGAGGGTTTTCATTTCTTCCCTGTTGAGGGGTAAAGGAATAGAAAATTCCTGGATGTAAAGCCAGCCCTCAATCTATCCATTCTGCACAGACAATCCAGTGACAGTGTGGGAAGCTGACATTAGATGGGAAGGGAATGCATAAGGAATCCAGAGGCTTTGGGGCAGTTCCAAAAGTGATCAGATAGACTGGCATGTAGACTATCTCACCTTTAAATCAGACTCCTAGATGGCTCAGCAGTTAAGGGCACTGACTGTTCTTGCAAAGGACCTGGGTTTGATTCCCAGCACCCACATGGCAACTAACAACCATCCAGGGGATCTGACACCCTCTTCTGACCTCCATGGGCATTGCACAATGGGTGCACTTACACATGCAGGCAATATACTCATACACATAAAATAAAATTTAAAAAAAGGAATTCAGACTCCTCTAACATTTTATTGGTTATAATTGAAGTTAATTCCATTTCTGAGCATATCTCTGTGTTCAAAAATTATTCTTCTCAGTTTTCAGATTGTGAACCCCTGATCTTGAAAGTTTTGTCATAGGCAGACTTGAGCAGGAGAGTAGGACTCTTGTTCAGTTTTCCTAGGACAGGATGACTGTCCACAGGAGAAAATGCTATGATATTAAATAAAACAGAGAGTGGCATGTGGCCTAGGGAAGGGAGCAGGAGGTGATAGACAGCAGTAGGAACTCACAAGTAGATTCTTGTGGTTGTGTCCATTATGGTTTTCATTGTGGTGATGATGACCAGTGGTGATGATGGTGGTTTTAAGGAAGAAATTCGGTTTCAGTTGTTCTTCCTCTGAAGTGCCTAATAGAAGGAAAATTGCTACACTGGTTGGGTGTAAAAACGTCTGCCTTTTAGAGTTTTCTGGAGAGAGGATCAGGTGGAACTGCAATGCTCACCAAGGATATCTTTATTTCCAGTCTCAAGTAGTCACTCAGATTAGCCAGAAAGCACACTTGTCACCAGTCTAGAGAATGTAGGATGGCAAGTCAGGCTTACTTCTGCAGGAGCATCCTTGCCACACTCCACACATCCTTCCTAGCCCAGTCTCATCTCTTGACTCAAGAGCAACCTGAGACAGTTTCCAGGGGCCCCTGAAAATGTTGGTTGAAATAAAATGTTGAGTAAAAGAATACATATCCTTAGTCCCAAGCTCCTTGAATGAAGCAATGTAACACCTGGATTTAAAAATAATTTATGAGGAGAGAAGAAAACGAGCCTAGCACTGTATTAGCTCAAAAAGGCTAAGAGAAGAATCAAACCATCTGCTGCTGTGAGTTTCTCTATTGTCCCTATTTTCCAGACATCATGAACAATTTGTTCCCTAAGACTACTAAATGACAACAGATAGTAAGGAATACAAGTAAACTTTAAATAGTCTTGATGAATCTTTAAACATGTATTTACCTTCTGGTTGGAGTAGTGTGCCAAGGGAGAGTTCATGGGAGTGGAAGGAAGTCTGGGGAGATACCACTGGAAGCCAAGTGTTGATGCTGTCTGTCATGAAACCAAGAGGAGGTGAGACGGGATAGTCTGCTTGCTGCTCATGAAACCATGTCTATCTCACTCATGGCTACCTTTAGCCAGCTGGCTTCTAGGACCATAAGTCGTTACTGAAAAAACCCAAAGCAAAGACTCTCCCAGAGAACGGTCTTTAGT